CAGAGGGGCTGGGGCATGCGCAAAGACTTGGGAGGAGCATATTACCAAATTGAGACAGAAACTGGGCTTTTGTGTGCACTGCCCCATCTCCATTGCGAGTAAAAACGTCATCAGGTGTCAGGCACTCTGTTGTTGTACATGGTGCAGGTCTGGCCCGTTCCCAAAGCTGCACCATTGGAGTCATCCGAGCCATTTTCCCCTTCAACTGGAGGTCTAAGATGGACCGTGTCTGCAGGAATATCATGTACAAAATTTTAGCTAAGTGGGAGAAGAACGTACTCGATACCACCCTCATCCTGATAGCCACCTTTGTGTGTGGCTGCATCAAGCTGTACATAGACCCTCTGTACATAAACTTCAAGCCTCAGTATGTACTGACGTTCTGCCTTTCCCTGGTGATGCTAAGGATGGGATTGACCTTGTTGCCATGGAACACTCCAAGTAGTTGGAATTTTCGGTATCTCCTGTGCTTTGTGAAGAAATTTGCAAAGCAAAACACCTTTGACCACAGTTCCATCTGGAAGTGGTCAGCATGTAGGAAAATCCTGCAGGAAAAGGAGAGGGTGGATCCTGTCTGGTTGTTTCCTGAGCAGACTGTCATAGTCATTTGGCAGAATGCCTCATCACTAGAACTTTCCAACAAGCACCAAGACACTGCTTGGCTGCTGGTGAGAATGGCACTGCCTGTGAGATCCCTTCATGTACATCAGAACACTCTGCACTACCGCACACTGCCATCATCGTGGCTGTGGGGATTAGAAACTGTCAAAAACCTTCTGCAATGTGCCTTTGCAAAGGAAGTCTGGAGAAAGATGCATTGGTTTTTGTCAAGGTTTTTACTAAGCATCTCTATGATGCAGGATTCTGTGTTCTGTTCCCTGGGATGCGTACCAAGACAAACATCAACTGCGCCTGGAGGGCCATCAATTCGATGAAAGAGGCTCTTTGGTCTACCTGAAACCTGTTGATGTTTCTGAGCAAGGAGTTGAACCTAACGGAGTACAGACCGGCACGTTCCAAGCTCCTGGACTGTGTGCGAGGAACACACTAAAGCCTAGGGCAGCTGCCACCAAAGCACAGTGGGGAATGACCACTGTCTCAGGTCTTTCAGCCAAAGTACAATGAGGGTCCGTTCAGTTATTGGATGCCCACCTCAAATATATGTAACTGTAATCTTGTACAAGAAAGAAATGCCTTTGGTTTGTTTGCTGGATTGAGTCAAACAATCTTTGTTTCTTTATATGCTACTGTACAGAACCAAACTGCTTTAGTGACTATGTATGTATATGAAGATATTTTTATGTAAAGTATATTTCTGAAATTAAAAGAAACTTCCTGTTCAAGTGCAACAGTAAGATATATACAGATATTATTAAGGGCAGTGCCCAGCGCCTAGTTGTACATTGAGGGAGAGGCACCAACAAACAACACACTGCATCTGGTTTCAGTGTGTTTTTTGTCCACAGTGATAAAGCCAACAGCACCAACATCTTATACAAGTAGTGGGGAATATACCATCATTAAAGGTGGAGGGTTGGCTAGCTAAACTGAGGCAGCAGCAAATTTGCACTACTTCCAGTTCAAGTGCGCTGTCATGATACCAACATCCTGTTCAAGTTAGCAGATGTGTTGTAATTTTTTTGTCTTCGCGTGTTCACTGAGTGTTGTGAGGAAATAATCTAACAATTATTTCTAGACTTGTCAGCAAAAGCTCAGATCTTGCAACTAATTGACAAAACATTAATTCCTCAAAATGTATAATGATATAGTTTAAAATAAATGCTGATAACAGTTTGCTGAACTAAAAGTAGATAAGTGCAAATATATTTATGTATGCATGCCCCAATTCTGACCTTGAGTTAGTTTCTCAATCATTTGTGCAGTTTTAAATATGCTGATAAAGACATACTGATGTCAATAACATTCTTTTAAAAAGGACAGGTATTGGTGCTGAAATGTTTATAGTCATTATGTTATTGTTTCAGGCAGACCTGAAATCTGATCTTCCTTCCTATTTTACAGTGTTGTGTGTCATTCCTATAGCTGCTTTTCCTTCCCTCCCTCTGCAGCTTTGCATGGGCTGAGCCTTTCCAAATTTTCATGTTTCCTGCTTCTGTTTGTCTAGTTCCCAAGACAGCATAGACAAAAAAAATGTGCAATTAATTGGATTTGGCTCTGTAAGGTGAGCTTCAAAATTCATTTTAAACAACATTTGCACCCTATTTTAGAGTTTTATTTTACATTTTTATTTAAAGCAGTTGACTGAAGTAAAGTTGGTTGTTCACCTTAGAAACCAGTTTAAGCCAAAACACAATCAGTGCTTTCTGAAATACAATGTAATTTTAAAAATATATTCTAGATTTTAGTTTGGAATCTGTTATTTAATGTTTAATGATCAGTATGTCAATATACCTTTAAGTGACATGCCGATGATACCATCACTATCATAGCATTTGACCTAAGGGCATGAATGTCATATATTCCATCTTACTCCAAATCACTTTTAAGTGTGACATGCTACAAGAAGTATGCTACTATGTGTAACTTAGTAGCTTAACATTAGCCTAGATGTTGTGTCTGATGAATGTAATGTTTATATGTAATTGTATGCTTGTAATAAATAACTTTGAATAATCAATGTCACAATATTCATGTCTAGTTTCCTATGTAACAAAGGATAACATAACATTGCCACATCAGGTAAAATACCCCACTGGAGTGCAAAATCACATCAAGCTCAAGGATAAATGGAAATGGATCCTTAAATAAAAGAAAGTCAGCTCAGATTTCCCAAAAATACAAATTGTGTTTGTCTAACTTAATTGAGTTCTTTTGGTGAAGTAATAGAGAGGGTTGACGAATAGGATTGAGGGTCCATCGTTAATGTGAACTCTTGACTCTGTTTCTTTTTACTGAAATTGCCTGGTCTGAAGATTTTCAGCATTTTCTGACTTTTATCTCTTGGAGAACTATATGTACAACTAATGAAAATGTACATAGCAACAGTGCATTGACATGCACAAACTCTGCAGCAGAGACTGTCAGTGGCACAAACGGTGCAGACATACTTGGAGTTGTGTCCCAACTTCTTTTTCCTTCCTTCTTCCTGGAACACTAGCCTCAGGCTTGAGGTGGCCACAAGAGGGATGAGAGTGGTGTGCTGTTATTAGAATCCCTACAGTGTGGAAACAGGCCCTTCAGCCCAACAAGTCCACACCGAACCTCAGAGCATCCCACCCAGACCCATCCCCCTGTAACCTACCCAATCTACACATCGCCGAACACCATGGGCAATTTAGCATGGCCAATTCACCTAATCTGCACATCTTTGGACATCATTGTCATCAGCCATATTGGTCTGTCTGAGTGAATGAGAGAGAAAGAGAGAGAGACTACCTTTGCACCAGGGCCTGGTGCGTAGCTGTAACTGCATTGAAGCTAAGAGCAGCAGCCTCTGGATGTGCTCTACTAGTGTATCCATGCTGAGGATGACTGCCTTGTGCATTTCTACAAACTGAGATAAGTGAGCAGGCTGCCTCCATTTCATCTGAGGCAACATGGCAGCACCTCGTACATGTGGCTGAGTGTGGAGACCACTCTGCTAAGCAGAGCGCTGAGTGGTTTTGTGGAGTTACCTCCTCTGCAAATGCATGTTTTTTGAATGAGGTGTAAATAAGGATATTTGATACTAGATGTGTATGCTTCTGAAAGAAGGAACATTGAAAAGGACAGTGAAACCTTGGCCAGATCTGCATCATCTATTAGGTGTGAGAGAGGATCTATTCAGGACTGTCTTTAACAGTAATGCAAAACAGGCAGGTGAAAATAAGTTTTGAATCACATTGACCTGGATTAAAAGGACCCTTCTAAAAATATACTTGGATCAGGTAATCCAATTTGTTGATGAAACCCTTTTGAGACTTTCAAGTCCTGTCCCAGCCCCAACCACTTACCCATGTAGCTGGAGCAGCTGTGTTCTGCATCTTTGCACCTCTTGCTCAGGCCTTTTTGGATAGGCTGTGATATGCACAGTGTCAGGACAAGCTGGAAGTAGTTAAAGCCATTATAAAAAGCTGTCTGTTGGGAAAGCATTGTTTCTTCCCTGGTGGGAGTCATTGAATTTGGCAGGAGACATTCCAGGACATTTCTTACTCAGTGTAGAGCATGAAGATACCAAACATGATAAGACGATAGCTGCATTATTTATTTGGATGGCTTCCTATCTTGGATTGATATCTGTGCCATAAATATTTTATGCAGAACTTTTAGCCACTTTCTTCCCTCAGGTCCAAAGTTCTTCTGGCGGACTACATTTTGAATACTTTATCCAGTTTTGCTCATTGAGTCCCAGAAGTAGTGTGAGGAAAAACTGGAGAAGGAGATGTTGGCAAAGTAATCTTACAGAAGTATTCTAGATTGTAAATGACATGGAAAATGTAAATCTGGATAATTTATTTTAAACGGAGTAAGGCACATAGATCTGAATTTCCCTTTTTCAAATTTAAATTTAATATTGGAAAGTGTTTCTTCATACAAAGCATTATCAATATATGGAGCACTTCTGTATACTGTAATGGAGACAAAACTACTTACTGTGTAAAATCACCACCACTTTAAAAAGCAGTTCTATGCTGCAGTAAGAAGATTTTGCACTTCATCTAGACAAAAGAGCCAAGATGGACTGAATGGCTTACCTCATAAGTAATTATTTTGCGATTCAATTAGTAGTATTTCTAAACATTAACAAGGAAATGTTTAATTCAGCCAAACAAATATGGTGATGGCAGTAGTCACACCGTGTGATTGCTTTATTTTAAAATATTTTACTCAATCTGTAAAAGCAAACTGAAAATATTGAGATCTTCAGAATTAGTATTTTTTAAGATTATTTAAAGCAAAATTAGTATGTAGTAATAACTTACAGCTCTAAGGCTTGTAAGGTACCGTCAGAGGACAGTCTTGTTCACATTAAAATAATGTAAACCTGTTTTACCTTCTAGTTTGTCCCACATTCCCAGACCCCTCCAGTCAGGAGGAACCAGCTCCCACAAGTCACAGACCAGATGGCCCAGACCTCACAAGTCACAGGCCAGGTAAGTATCTTTGCTTGGTTATTTTGCCACGTCTGAAACACTTCTTATGTGGTGGATGATACGTTGGTTTGTTATAGAAATGTTAAAGTACTTTATAGGGCGGGAGAAGAAGTTCAAGAAAAGTCAGTTTTAACTCTTGTACCTATACAGGTTATTAAAATACAGTATTTGCTGTAATAAATTACTCCAATATGTTAGCTCATGATATTTCCTGTAACTTGATGTTATGAAGTGTTTGCATACCAGTCTTTTTGCCATTTTATCTTTGTCTCCCCGTATCTCTTTGAACTCATGTATTTATACACTTAGGTAAGAAATTATACACCTAAAATGTATCTCCTAACTTTCACACTTACACCTAAAATTCTTGACATGTTTCAAAGAAAGTATAAAGGAACATAGGCACTCTGCAAGAACACCAGAGTCAGTTCCAGTTAAATCCCACTTTGGCCTTGCCCCTTCCTATATGTAACCTCCTCCAGTCATGCAGTCCTCCAAGCTATTTGTTCTGGCATCTTGTGCATCCCCGATTTTAATGGCTGCGCCATTGATGGCTTTACTGTCACCAAGCCCCTTTACGTCTCTCTAACTTTAAGACACATGAACATTTGAATTAAGAGTAGGAGTACACAATTTGGTCCCTGGAGTCAGCACTGCCCTTCAATAAGATCATGGCTAGTCCGACTACTCCATATTCTGTCCATCCTTAACTTTTTTTAAATCCCCTTGCTTATCAAAAATCTACCAACCCCTGCCTTCAAAATATTCAAAGATCACTCTTCAACTACCTTTTGAGCTCCAAAGACTCAACCCTGAAAAAAAAATTCTCTCTTTATGTTGAAGGGGTTAACCCTTGTTTTAAAACAGACCTAATTTCTAGACTCACCATTAGAAAATCATTCTTTCCACATGCACCTTGTTAAGATCCCTCAGGAGCTTATATGTTTCGATCAAGTCACCTCTTATTCTTCTAAACTGCATTAGAGACAGGCTTTGCCTGTCTTTCCTCATAAGATAACCTGTCCATTACAGGTATTAGTCTAGTAAACCTCTGCATTTGCATCCTTCCTTAAATAGAGATCATAACTATACACAGTTAACAACTTGGGATTGTACTCGTTAGGGTTTAGAAGAATGAGAGGAGATCTCATTAAAACTTAAGGGGCTTGACAGGGTAAATGCTGTGCTGAGAGGAAGATTTTTTTCCATCATGGGAGAATCCAGGACCGGATGGAATAGCCTCAGAATAAAGGGACACCAATTTAAGACCAAGTCAGGGAGGAGTCGCTCCTCTGAGGATTGAGTGTCTTTGGAACTCCTGGCTGCAGAGAGCTATGGGGGCAGAGTCATTGAAAATATTTAAGGCTAAGACAGATGTATTCTTGATCAGTGGGGGCCCCAAGGGTTACCTATACAGGTTATTAAAATACAGTATTTGCTGTTATAAATTACTCCAATATATGTTAGCTCATGATATTTCATGTAACTTGATGTTATGAAGTATTTGGAAAAGGGCAGAAAAGTGGAAGTGAGAAATGTCAGATCAGCCATCTTCCTACAGGATGGTGGCACAGACTCAACGGAGCAAGTGGCCTACTTAGATGTGATTTCAGTGGTGTACTGTATAGCTGAAGCATAACCGTTCTTCTTTTGCATTCAATTCCCTTTGCTATAAACTATAACATTGTGTCAACTTTCCAGATTACTTGCTGCACCTCCTTAATGGTCACTTGAGATTTATCAGCGAGGACACCGAGATTGCTCTGCATCTTGAAGCTCTGCAATCTCTCACTATTTAGATAATGCTTCTTTCTTATTCTTCCTGCCTACTCATTTAAACTATTTGTATCCCTTTTGTAACTTATTTATATCCTCTTCACAACTTACTCTCCCACCTTAAAAATGAACTCTTCTACCAGGCTTTTGATAATTTGTAACAATGTGACTTGCTGTCAAGTTTTGTTTAATAATGTTCCTGAGAAGCATCTCAACGCATCTTGTAATGTCAAAAGTACAGAATATATAAATACAAGCTGTTTTTAAAGGATAAGGGTTAAGTGAGTGGGCAAAAACTTGACGTGGACTATAATGTGGGAAAATGTGAGGTTATGCACCTTGGAAGGAAGAATAGAAGAACTAAACATTTAAATGGAGAAAGCTAAAGAGGGATTTGGCAGTCTTCATGCAGGAATCTCAAAAGTTAGTATTACAGGTTTAGCAAGTAATAGGAAAGACAAATAAAATGTTGGCCTTTATTTCAAAGGTAATGGAGTACACAAATAAAGTCTTGTGCTGTGAATGATTTTGGTTTTCTTAACTGAGGAAAGGTGTGCTGACATTGGGGACAGTCCAGAGAAGTTTCACTAGGCTGATCCTAGATATGGAGGGATTTTCTTATGAGGAGAGATTGAATAAGTTCAGCTTGTACTTATTGCACTTTAGCAGAATGAAGAGTGACCTGTATTGGAGCATAAAAGATTCTTAGGAGGCTTTACAGGGTAAATATTGAGGGGATTTTTCCTCTTGTGGGAGAGTCCAGGACCAAAGGATGTAATCTCGGAGTTAGCCGCTTAGGGCGGAGATGAAGAATGTCTTCTCTGAGGGTAGTAAATCTGTGTAATTCTTTACAGCAGAGGGCTGTAGAGGCTGGGTTGTTAAGTATATTTGAAGTTAGAATAGACTGATGTTTAATCAGTTAAGGAAATCGAGTTCTGGGTAAAAGACAGGGAATTGGAGTTGAGAATCAGACATGATCTCATTGAATGGCAGTGCAGACTTGATGGGCCAAATGGCCTACTTCTGCTCCCACATTTTATGGTCTTATTTTAAAGTTTGAAGTGTCAATGATAAAATAATTCTTTTGATTACTAAACTTTATTTACAGAATGGAAAAGTTCTATTTTGCAAACCAAGTTTCTAAAACCAACAGTTGAGTTAGTACACTTTCTACTTAACGGTTTGAATCTGATATATATGTGTCTCTTTAGAAGACCAGAATATTTTGCTTTAGTCTGGTGTAGTTTAAATTTTGTAACCTGATTCTAATTGAGCCATTGTTATGTTTTAGATCCTCCTGTGTTCCAGGGATTGGGAATGTCAGCTGCATTAGGAATTGCATTTGGTGCATTTGTCATTGGAGCATTACTGATTGCAGCTCTGTGGTATATCTATTCACACACTCGTGAGTACCAACTTAGATTTATTATTAATACTATAGATATTGATAATTTGATATTTTACCGATAGTTTTTACTCTCAATTTGCCGCACTCCCTCTCTGATTTTCAGATACTAAAAACCAGATTTTCAAAGGCTGTTGGAGCAGCACTGGTGGCGGATTAGCCAGGAATTTCCCACTACCAGCTGGAAAGTTGATTTGATTTGGTAGAATAACGTGCCCCATATCATTTTCGAGGAGGACAGGTCTGAAAAGCCACCTGCCTACAAGTAGCAGGTTGCAAATGAAGATAAATATAACAGTGTCCTCACCAACTGAAATTTACAGCCAAAATCTGGGCTCCCTATGATCACCAAAATATGGCCAATCAGAGGAGACCGCCTCCTCATGGCAGACTGGAAGGTGATTGCTCCAGCAGACTTTTTAAATCCCCAACTGTTACAATATAACCAACTAAGCTGTATCCTCAAGCTGCTCTGTGGAGGGTTACCCCTTCATTGAGGCTGGCCTGTCAGTTGTAGGCTCTTTCTATTTTCATATTTCAAAAAAAGTGATCAGAGCTTATCTATGGTTGGAGCCACATTCATTCTGTCCTGTCTACATTGGCAGCTCTTGACTCAGATGTGTCACTATTGGAGGGCATCCAGTTGGCTCTCCAGCCCATGTGCATCATCCTTAATTCGATGGCGACAATTACCTCTGACCACTAATTGGCCTCCCACTTGACAATCCCATCAGCGAGCTACATCGGAATCTGGACGTTCTCTGTGTTGTCTTTCCAAGGACATTGATGTGGCCACTTTTGAAGTACTGTATACAGCACAGTGTACAGTTTCTGGTCGTCCTGCTATAGGAAGGAAATTATTAAATTGAAGAGGGCTCAGAAAAGATTTACCAGGATGTTGCTGGGACTGGAGGGTTATATCATCCATCACTTTTGCCCAGATTCCAGTTTGTGTTCCACAGTGGGTTTCCTTCCCACACTGGGTTTCTTTCCATTTAATTTATTTTAATCATATATTGTTTAACCTCTTTCAAAGTTATTTTTTTAAGAACTGTTAGTACTTTTGAGGCCTCAGCTATAACCAGTCACATCCCTTTAAATTTCAATTAAACTTTACTGTATTGTCTGTTCCCTTTTCAACTAAAGCTAACTTATTGCGCCAGATATTGTTGCTGAAGTGGATGATTATATTAAAAAAGACTTAAGCTCACTTCACTAAATTTATGCATAATCAGCTTAATATGAAGTTGGCTAGGTTTACATTTATAGCTGGGTATTAAGTCAAAACCAAACTGCAGAAGCCATTTTATTAAGCTTACTAGTAATGTTTGTATGTATTTATGAATGAATGTTAGGTTAAATTAGCACTGGTCACAACTTTTATGGAGATGAATAAGGAAGCACTGTAAATGTGTATGCAGGTCTATGACACTGTTGTGCTGATGAAATTTGATTACTAGTTTATTACCTATTTCTACCTTGTAGGTCCTTCTGAAAAGAAGCAGCCTGTTTTCACTAATCCACCTACATCTGAGAACAGCAGCACCAATCACAGCATTAGTAGCACCCAAAGTACCCCATGTTCTACAAGCAGCGTTGCATAGCCATCATCTACAATGATTTCACAATACTGACTAGTTAAAATATGTTGTTATATGACAACTGCCTTTTTTTTTGCAAAATTCTGAGTAACCTATGGTGAATACAACGGTAAAACATCTTTGAAAGTGATTTAACAGCTGCAAAGAAAACCCATTTTCAAAAAGAGAAATGACTTGTGGCATTACAGTTCACCAACTGCAACTCCAGTAGCAGATCTGCCTAATAGGTGCCAGGCATCTAGAGAATAACATTGTCAGACAGTGACTACAATGCAGGTGATGCCTTAAACAACAAGGGTAAAAGTCTGATTTCTCACTATTGTTTGAAGATAAGGCTAGAATTAGCCATGAATATTCAGGTATTTGTGTATTTTTAATATTTAAGTACTGGTTTAATATTTTATGCAAGGGTTTAATAACTTTTTTCACTTTCTCTCATGAGAGATTATTGATGGTAATGTAAGCTATACGGGTGTGCTTTGTCATCAGTGGGTGACAGTATTCACTCCTATGTGGAATGCAGCCATAACCAGCCAAAACAAGAAATTGAGCAATTATGACTTAAAGGGTGATTCCACAATCCTGTCGAATTGTGCCCAATAGACTTTGATAGGACTTCACTTGAGAGAACTGAAGCTGCTGTTTTTGTGGCTTACGTCTTTGTCCCATGCCCATTTCAGTACAATTGCCCACGAGGAGAATAAAATCACAATTTTTATCAAGATATCAACTGAATTTAACTAATGGAAAATTTTGCACCCTGCACACAAATTGCAGTGTCACTGGTGGTAACATTCTTTTTTAAAAAGGGAAAATTGAAGATCGTGATGAACTAAGTAACAATTAGAAAAAAGCTGACTTATTAAAGTATGTTACAGGGAACCAAGAAAAGGTAAACCACTTCTACAGATTTTTACATTGTGCCTTTTCTGTAAAAGCAAATCATGAATACAGTTTGACTACAGAATTATTAAACGTACACTGCCAGGAATCCTACTGAATGTCCTAGAATCATCATTTTGAGTCCCCATAAGCCACAAAACAAACTCCCAAGTGAGTACTGTATCTATGTGGCCTTTAGAGATGATTATTAAAGAGATTACAGTTCTAAGTGCTGTGTTTACCAGAATTTAAACTCCTACCCAACAGCTGTTTGAGTCAGTTCACTGCTGGCCAATGAAAGGGAAAGTCCATGTCTAATGACACAGTTGGCTTTCAGTTGAATTGTACCTCAACCTAATTTCCAACCATTACGATTATCGATATCAATTGGAAAGGACACTGTACCAGTCCATTTTATTTGTAAACTTATTATGTAAGGATATGTTGTGTTAAAGTTACTGTAGAAATGCATGTTTTTCATGTTTGGCCATAGAGTAGAAAATAAAAATTAAAGTAAAATGATATGACAAGGTGTAGAGCTGGATGAACACAGCAGGCCAAGCAGCATCAGAGGAGCAGGAAAGCTGCGTTTCGGGTCTGGGCCCTTCTTCAGAAATGCACTCTACTAAATGCACTTTTCTGAAGAAGAGTCCAGACCCGAAACGTCAGCTTTCCTGCTCCTCTGATGGTCATTGGCCTGCTGTGTTCATCCAACTCTACACCTTGTTATCTCAGATTATCCAGCATCGGCAGTTCCTACTATCTCTTAAAGTAAAATGATTGTTTTTAGAAAGAAAGGGATTTTCTTGTTGAAAAATTAATGAAGGGAAAATCAAGACCCATTCACCCATCCTCTGCAATCTCTCCCAGCCCTACAACTGTATCAAAATTGTATATTTGCCCACCTTTGATACTTTCTGGACTCACTCTTCCTCACCATTGCAGGAATTTATTTTTTCTGGTCAGGCTCAACCCTATATAGTGCTGTCCTTTAAATCTGTCCCTCACTGTCTCCTCCTCTTAAGGCAAGTATTAAAGACTACTTTGCACTTTCTTCCAGCACCACCTCCTTTGTCTCTTTGTCAATTTTTGTTTGATTTGTGTTCTTATGAATGCTTTGATACATTGTATTAAACTAAAAATTTTATACAAATGTGTGATGTAGAGGAACTGTGACCAAGCTGAAGTAGCATCCACTAGAACCTTCATAGTAGTGTGAATTAAAACTAGAATAAATATGACTTCGGATTCATCCTGTTAGTTCGAGGGGATTTTGTAGGAAATATGTTGAGAAATTGTTACCATTTAAGGGCACTCTGACCATCATATTCCAAAGTAGAGTGCATAAGATCCCTACATATATCACCATGTGCATAAAAGGACTGCTTCAATGCTGCCTGGAATAGTCATAGTCAGTATTGCAATGCCAGTCCCATTTGCTGATGTTGGGGGATAGACTGTGCTTAACAATAATAGTCTTTCGTTTTCTCTTACTGATCTGACACCATCTCCACTAGTGGACTTTTCCTGAGTTGTAGCAGTCAAAATTCCCATCTGACCGTATTCTGCTTCCTCACCTTTTGTTCACAATGTATCATGAACAACGTGCGGGAACAATATTCAGATGAGCTAACTTTGTTTTATCAGGCCTCACCATATCCCACAATGTTATAAGAACACAAATGAAAATATTAAATGAGATGAACTGTAAATCCCAATAATTAACTTTGCCTCATTTGAGAGAGTAATTGAGTCCTGTAACAGATCTGGATATTTCTGATGTTGTATAATCTTGTTCACATTACTTACTAAATTGAAATAGTGTTAAAATGAAATGAACATTTAGAGGCTAAGTATTTCTCCAGCTATTCCTTTACAGCTGTGTTTTAAGACAATTGAGTTAAATTATTTTGTTGTCTTGCCTTTTGGATTAATTTTTAAGATGCACAAAACCATGTACACAAGAAAATATGCAAACAGCCATTTTGAATCATTCAGTTATAATGTACAGTTTAACTACCAGAGATTTGAGTTGTATTGACACTTCAAATTGAAAGGACTTTATTTTAACGTTCTTTAGCACCTAATGGTGATCACTGTGAACTGACATTGAGATTAATGCACTATTAATACGTCATACCATATTAACAAACAACCAACAAAGTCAGAGCTTTCAGTATTGTTCAAAAGAGGAAAGCTAGAAAACAATTTACAAGGCTTGAAGGAATAGACTAAATCGAGTGGCAATCGGATCTCTTGAGTTTAGGAGTTAAAATGTATAAATTGTAAGGGGAAGGAAAGAGATTTTGGATACAGAATTTGTACAAATGTACCATTATGGTCCAACATTGGAAATAGTATATAATTCAATTTACAAATGAAATAGAATTATGTTAGTGAAGATACAGTAATAAACTGGCTAGGAAAGGTATAAATCAGGATTTAAAAAGGGTATATTATCAAACAAAGTTTCTGTAAGTACACTAATCAGAACATCATGAGAAGGACCAGTTTCATTTATGAATTCTGATTTAACATTGGCTTTTTTGGGTCAAAGGGAAATGGACCTTTTATGATCTTATTAAATGACCTGTGACTCTTCTGTTCATTATTTAGATTGTTCACCTCAGAAATTCATTTTTATTCATGAATTTAAGTATTGAAGTAAGAACTATGTTTGTTTTCTGTACATTTTATACTGAGTTTTTGTTTTGATAAAGTTGCTTAATCTTTACTATGTTTGTGAGAACAAAAAGGCTGATTTTTTTAAAACTCTCATTCATCCTTATATGTTCAGAATTCCAACTGAAAATTTCATCTACCCCTATCCCCCTTTGAGACATTAGTTGTGTTCTTTTATGTTGATTACTAGTGGTATTAGTTTTTGCCACTATAACCGACCCTTCTAATCGGCTGTGTTTTATGGTGCCAGTAGGTTCGTTCTGTATATTTCCAGTTTTGGAACAAGTATATTTAAGTCCTCTTTTAAAAGGAAGAGAACTGTATGATTCAAGAATCTTTTTAAAACAAAAAGATAATAGCTTGCGTAGAAATTCATCTCACTAATGTATTATAAATCATAACTATCAATATGCTTTGAGTAACCTGTTATCTTTTTAAATCATGTCTGGTTCCCAAATACTCTACAGTTTTATTTGTCTTAAGTCAGTTTTACAGCATGGAAAAAAAGCCCTTGAACCACTGTGTCCATGCTGGTCTTCTCTTTAATCCCATTTCCCAGCATTTAGCCGATAGCTTTGTATGCTATGGCATTTCAGTTGTTCGACTAAATATTAACATGTGAAGGTTCTCACTTCTGCCACCCTTTCAGGCAGTGGGTTCCAGATACCAACCACCCTCTAGGTGGGGGTTTCTTCAAAATGCCTCTAAATCTCTTCCCCTTACTTTAAATCTATGTCCGTTGGTCGTTGACCCCCTCTACTAAGTAGAAATGTTTATTTCTTTCTATCTTATCTATGCCTTTCATAATTTTGTACACCTTAATCCAGTCTCATTTCAGCCTTTGCTGCTCTAAGGAGAACAACCGCAGCCTACCTAGTCTCTTTCTTTAAAAAAAAGCTAGAACTCTTAACTTTCTTTTGATGCAGTTTACATTGGAGAAAAACAACTTGCCTATTAGCTCTCCACTTTGTGTTGATGTTACTTTCATCAGCCTTTCTTAGATACTAGCAAGCTTCCTTCAGGGTTATCTGCTGTTCAGACTGGCTTGATCTCTCAATCTTACTTTGTTGTTTATTGATTTAAAAATGTTGTTATTCATGTTACTTGAACTTCATCATTCTTCAATATTCCTACAAAATTTTATAATGTACTAACATGTTATAAGTTTCTACTTTTCCTTTTAAGTGACTGATTGTGAAACCTACTTTACATAGAATTTACAACACAGAATTAGGCCAGTTAGCGGGCCTGGCCTTTGCTGACATTTTATGCTCCACACACACCACCTCCCACCTCTTAATTATTTTTGATTTCTCTTGTGTGTTTACCTAGTTTCTCCTTAAATACAAAATGCTACTTGCCTCAACTAACAGTCTTTGGATGAAGAAGGTTCTCCTGAATTCCCAGTGAATTTCCCTGTGCAGTAACTACTGTTTTACTTAGCTATATTTGTGGTCTGTCCCACAACCAAACATAGCTACCCTGTCAAGTCTCTTGAATACTTTTACAGCATTAGGTTCTAGAGCAAACAGCAGTTATTATATAGATCCCGAGGGCATCCTAGTAAACAGGAGGCTGAGTTTCACAATATTTTTGTCTATGGTGTTTTTTCCTTTGATTGTAAAAACTTTTTTTCAATATCAGCATTTATCATTAAACTGAACTTTTTAAACTACATTCGCACTGCTGGTAACTATTAGCAATTTGGAAGTGTAAATCATATTTTCCTAGGTAAATGGGTGAAGTGAAATGTCAAAGCAACTTATGATGATTCTTAATGGTTATACAAAAATTAATATTTTAGTACTTAAGATAAATTTCTTAATCCATTCCATTATTACCACTTTGAGAATTCTGAAAAGTTGTAGCATTAGATTTGTATCTTTGCAAAATTTAAAGATTTGTGTGCCTTCCAGCAAAATATTCAAGTCAATTTTGATTTTTGATTGTTAATTGAAAATAAATATATTGAGTCTCCCCCCTTTAGATGTATTCGAGAATAGCAAATGTTATGCTGTCACCTGAAGCATTTTTATTAAAATACTTCTAAATTGCATGTTTGATGTCAACTAAATAGGTTAAAAGTTTGAAAACTGAGTATGTTGAAGGATGTACTCTTTTAATCAAAGCATGTGTTGACTTACAGCATCTTCAGTGCCAGAATATTCATTCAAACTATTGTACTCCTTATTGGAAAATCTGAAATGTTCTTGTTCTTATATAAATTGTATTGTTTTATGGAAGCTCTAATTCTACTTCTGTATGTATTTTCTTAAATTACAAATGCTTTTAATGTCTTCGAAGAAGACAGTTATTGACCTGTATCAGTCTTGTATGAGATATGTATATTATTGTCTATATTATAAAGTTTATTTTAGAGTTATTCATAATCTCAGAACAATTAATCATGTAAACTTACCAAAATCCTTTTAATTCATGTAAACCATTATTAAAACATTAAAAAAATAGAACTGAATGGAAAGTTTTGCTGAAGATCAAGTACTCATTTAAGTGCACCAGATATTCAACCTAGAATTTGAATTTGAACAAGTGTCACACCTCACTGGGTTAGTAAAGATTTTTAAAAATAAGTAAATTCTCTAACTTACCTGACTTTTACACCTAGGCTAACAAAACATAAACCAGGTTTCAACTTATTGCAAGTAAACAGACCCTAGCTACAGGGTAAACAATTATGAATGATCAGCATAAATTCGACTAATTAAACTGATTCCCTTATATAGTCCCCTTGCACAAATGTGGAAAAATGATGTTATGGACAGAGAAAACTGGAAAAGCAGTTCAGTTATCTCAATTCACCGATTTGCTGAGTTGGTTCTTGTGCTGACCAGAACATTGCTTCTCAAGTGGTCTTTCTCCAGCTATTTTCACAGATTTGCACAAGGCGCAGATGACTGATTCACACTTGTAATTAAGTCTCTGACTTAAGAGTCATGGCTTATGCTAATTGCTGGAGGGGAAAAAAAAATATTTTCTACAGGCTTAAAGTAACTTTTAACTGCAAAAAAACAGCAAGAACTTCTGAGCTGGAGAGCTAGGGCCCCAACCTGTTTAGAGAAACAATCACATTGTGGTTGGCAGACTAATGACTTGTTCTTGATCAGCTACTTGTTGTCATCCAAAACTCCTTTGTATGTGACTTTTTGATGACACCAGCTTGTTTGTAAACCACATCTTGACTCCTGCTGGAACTTGTAGCTCTGTGAAACGTTTAAGGAGACTGTAAGGTTACCTGCTTTCAAAACTAGGCAGTAACCGTCCAGACATTCTTGGTTTCAAAAATGTTCTTTTCCCATTTCAGTTCACAGAAATGCAGAAAAACTGACATGTGAGAATAGGCAGGGAAATAGAGGGATATGGGCCACATGAAGGCAAAAGGTTAGTAGTTTAGAAAAGGTGTCATGTGTCAGCACAGGCTTGGGACGCCAAAGTGCCTGTTCCAGTGCTGTACTTTCATGTCATTACTATTTTTACACAAGGAAGGTTCCAAATTGTGGATAGTGGGAAATTAATGGTGAAAAGTAAATTAGCAATTGTTTTTCACCTGCTATATGTGACAATTTGGGTTTTTTGATGTTTTGTACCTTGTGCGGTACATGGCCAAAATGGATCACAAACCCTAAGTCTAGTAAGGGAAGAGGAACAAGTTGAAGCTACATAAAATTGTTAAAATTGCTTCAGTCAAGCACTTATCTTGCTCAATTTTTAAAATAGACCCCTAATCACAATAGATTTTATGCTGTTCTCAAAGCCCAGCTTTGCCAACATACTAATAATGAATATTATGCTTAATAAATGGGAATGTTTAAGTCAGTGTCAAGGACGAGACAGTTGATAAAGGCAAATCTTCAGCCTTTTATCCTTGCATTTAACTTTCAAAACTGAATATTTTGTAATAGTATGAAAAGTTCTGCATAATTAGATTTTCTACATGGAATAAAAGTGCAGAGTAATATGGCTCAGCAATGTAATAGTATTTCAGCCATGGTTACCAGATTATTTTATACACGATCTACATAGTCAATTTAATGTAGCTTGCTCTGATATTTCTTGATATTTGCTAGTTGATTTTGAGTAGACTATATAGATGTACGCAATTGCAAAACTGTAACAAACACTGAGAAACATTCACTGTTTCAAAAAACTGCAGTGACAATACACATGCATGTATGAGATTTGTACAGCAGTAGCAAACATCATTCTGTCCTGAAGTTTGCTTACATGTGTAATCTTATTAAGAACTTATTCAATTTTTTTTGCCACCCTTCCTCCAACCAAATTTTGTCTCTGCTTAGTTTGTCTAGTAGTTGCACTAATTCTGGTCAAATCTGTGACAACAAATCCATCGGTAAGGGTTTCAGTAGCAAGGGAAGCAAAAATATTGATTATCAGAACCTTATCACAGGATGAAATATAACACCAATGTTTAATTTCAGTAAATTACTAAGATGAGGCATTTGTGCTGAGGACTGAAAATAATGCTTTGCCTTCCAAATTTTTGTTGCAGGACTGAATGAACAATTTCCTTCATCTCAGAGAAGCAGTTTGACGATTTAAAAAGCATAGAGAAAATTATAACATTGAAACTAAGCTGTGTGCACAAGACAGGATGGCACTTTAAACAAGCATCTGTGAAGTTGTGGAGATTAGCGAGTTATCTTGGAATTTATCTTGCCTGTTCCTTAAATGTCAACCCATACAGTCAATAACCAACCCTCACGAGTTGGAGATGGCCTTGGCAGTCATCAGCTGCTGTTATTCCTCAAGAATGGCATACAGAGGTAAACTAGAGAAATTCTGAATATGTTGAGAGGATAGGATGCAAAGTGCAAACATTCATTCAAACTAGCACTGAGCAGCATTTGGGGTTTGTGTTTCGTTTCAGCAGAAAACTGGAAAAAGGTCAAAGCATGCAAATGTTTCCTTTGGGGAGGGTGAACTTCTTAAAGTTCTCAACTGCTACACCTTTGCCTGATTCAGGCAGAAAGGGTAAAGCTGTGTCTTTGGACAGGAATGACATAAAAGCAAGTTGCTAATTTCAGCCACCATCATTTGATAACAATAATTATTGATCACTTATGAAATTACTTGTCACGACTTCTGTGTATCCTTGCCTGATCCTAGAGCTGCATCTCCGACCACACATTTGGCAAGCGTTCTGGGGAGATGGAACTGGTCCTTGAAAATGTTGACAGTCTGATACCTGCCTGTCAACCTTACCATCATGGGTTGAGAACTCCTGCAACGACTGTTACAGACCAATTAGCCTAACCTCAGTAGTGGGCAAGATTTTGGAGTCCATTGTAAAGGATGAGATTTCTGAATATTTGGTTATGTATAGTAACATAGGGCAAAGTCAGCATGGTTTTGTCAAGGGGAGGTCATGCCTGACAAATCTGCTAGAATTCTTTAAGGAAGTAACGAGCAAGGTAGACCAAGGAGAACCAATGGATGTTATCTATCTGGACTTCAAGAAGGCCTTTGCTAAGGTGCTACACAGGAGGCTGCTGAGTAAGATAAGGGCCCACGGTGTTAGAGGTAAAATGCTAGCATGGATAGAAGATTGGCTGTCTGGCAGAAAGCAGAGAGTAGGGATAAAGGGGCCTTTCTCGCGATGGCAGCCGGTGACGAGTGGTGTTCTGCAAGGGTCGGTGCTGGGACCACAACTCTTCACTTTTTACATTATTGATCTAGATGAAGGAACTGTGGGCATTCTGGCCAAGTTTGCAGATGATACAAATATAGGTGGAGGGACAAGTAGTATTGAGGAAAACGAGGCTGCAGAAGGACTTGAGATAACAAGGTGTAGAGCTGGATGAACACAGCAGGCCAAGCAGCATCAGAGGAGTAGGAAGGCTGACATGTCAGGCCTACTTGGCCTGCTGTGTTCATCCAGCTCTACACCTTGTTATCTCAGATTCTCCAGCATCTGCAGTTCCTACTATCTCTGCAGAAGGACTTGGACAGGTTAGGAGAGCGGGCAAAGAAGTGGCAGATGGAGTACAACATGGGAAAGTGTAATGTCATGCACTTTGATAAGAAGAACAAAAGCATTGACTATTTTCTAACTGGGGAGAAAATTCAGAAGTCTAAAGTGCAGAGGATTGGGAGTTCTAGTCCAGGATTCTCTTAAGGTAAACTTGCAGGTTGAGTCAGTAGTCAGGAAGGCAAATGCAATGTTGGCATTTATTTTGAGAGGACTTGAATATAAGGTGCTTATCAGGCCACATTTGGAATATTGCATGCAGTTTTGGGCCCCATGTCTCAGGAAGGATGTACTGGCCCTGGAACGGGTTCAGGGGAGGTTCATGAGAATGGAAAGCTTAACATTTGAGGAATGTTTCAGGACTCTGGGACTGTACTCATTAGAGTTTAGAAGGATGAGGGGCGATCTAATTGAAACTAGACAAAGTGGATGTTGGGAAGATGCTTCCATCAGTAGGAGAGTCTAGGACCCAAGGGCACAGCCTTAGAGTAAAGGGAAGACCTTTTAGGACGGAGATAAGGAGAAACTTCTTCAGCCAGAGAGTGGTGAATCTATGGAATTCACTGCCACAGACGGCTGTGGAAGCCAGGTCATGGAGTACATTTAAAACCAATAGATAGGTTCTTGATTATCAAGGGTTACAGGGAGAAAGCAGGAGAATGGGGTTGAAGAACTTGTCAGCCATGATTGAATAGCAGAGCAGACTCAATGGGCCAAATGGCCTAATTTCTGCTCCTATGTCTTATGGTTATCGGTATCAGTGGAATACCCGAGCCTCTCCATGCATTAAGGTGACAATCCATGAAAAGCAATATAACAGCATCAGGTAAGTGGCACAGCTAAGCGAGAGAGAAAAAAGCAGCCTTGGAGGAGGTTTCCATTAAAGTTGCCACAAAGATTTTGGAATCAAACATAATAAGTGACAATTGTCAAATTACTGAAGTGCTGTAAAAGCAAGGAAATTCAGGACCGTAATTTATCTTTTGAGTTGAGCAAGTGTAAAATATGCACTGTTTTACATTAAAGCAGCATGAAAAAATTGTCATTTATTGCATATTTTGCAGCACAGTAAAACAATTTATAGCAAAATCAAAACCGCAATAAATTTAATTTTTCAATCATTTAGTTTAAAATAATTTAAACCAATTACATTATAAGCATCAAGTAACCAAAGTACAGCATTGAACTTGATTCATTTGGGTGAACTGAGTAGAAATTTGAATTAATACTTAAATCAAAAATAAATTAAACAATATCATCGTTTTAAAAAATTGCTGTGCAGAAATTTCCTTGGATAAATTGTTGCCATTGCTCCAAATCAAAAATTATGAAATACACAAATTAGAAGAAAATACAAACAATCCTGAGAGGAAAACTACAATAGTTTTTAAAAGTATTAAATATTAATTAAAAAGAAATCCTCATACTCCTTAACCATCCCCTCCCTACTCTTCCATGTTGAACATTCAATCTGCATCTTACAGCCACCCAGAGAATAGACATATTGTTATTAACTTATTAGTGGCAACACTCCATTGGGGTCACTGAAAATAGCTACTTAACATTAGAATCCACTGATATGAAAGCAAAGTATAAAACCAAAAATGGACAGCCTAGTGTGCACGGGTAGTAGGAACAGCAGATGCTGGAGAATCTGAGATAACAAGGTGTAAAGCTGGATGAACACAGCAGGCCAAGCAGCATCAGAGGAGCAGGAAGGCTGACGTTTTGGTCTGGA